ATAGGCTAAAACATGTATTAAAATCAGATAATAGGCCAATTATGATAGTTTATGCGACCGTGCTAGAACCACGGAATCCGGGGGAGCCTAACACCTTCCCTCGGGTTAACAGAATTTCTTATTCAGAATTTCTGGTTTGCAGACTTCAAAAGGAAAGTCGAAATTTTCCTCGATTTGGGATTTAAAATAAACCGGTGACTTGGGACACCAAATAAACTATCCCAAGTGGCGACTCTGAATAAAAATGAATAAATAATCCCATTTCGAATAATGTCACTTAAAGTGGAAAAAATCCATTGTACTACCTTCGGGTGTGTAAAAAAGGAGGTGTGACAGCTCTGGCGACCCTGCTGGGGAACCAAACCCAGAACTTCGGTTCAGAGTTCAAGAATTCGAGCTTAGAATAGCTGTTATGATTGGCTTTATCTATTATCTGATTTTTCTACATGTTTGAGCCCAATGTGCTAAATGCCGCTTACTGCTACGAAACCCTTCTTCTCTCTGAGTCTTCTAAATCATTTGGGGAGTGTGCACTTCGTATGACTTCTCTTCTGTCTAGAGTCTTATCCAATTTTAGAACGAGGTTCGGACAAGTTGCAAAGCCGGTGAAGCTTCTGTATTCCCGGTACGCTGCCCCCCTTGGCTCGAGCTGTCCGCTCGGGTAAGCCAGGTCTAGAACAATACACCCAGGTTTTAAACCTAGTATAACAAAGCTCATGCCAGATCCCTAGTAGGAACGCTTGTTTGCATCACGTGCATTTGACTTTGGAGACTCAACACAGGGGTTGGGTCTGTCTAGGACAGGTGTACCCAAATTAAAAAGACCATCCTGATGCATTCTACTTGCTACTTGTGCATTTATTTGCTTCGGATTTGCATGTTGACCGGCTTATGAATAATAGGAGAAAAGTTGGAAAAAAGAAAAATCAATTGGAGGGTTAGAGAGATAATTACCTGTTCCGAAAAACCCAATATCCAAAAAGTACCGAAACTCTGCCGAAATTTTTAAAAAAAAAGAAAGTTTGTTTTTAAGAAAAATATTTAGGAATGTCTTTTATTTTGACAAATTTGCCCGAACTACGCCAGTTTGATTCTCACCGGATGTGGGATACGTAGGCAACCCCCATCGGGTCCAACTTCCCTTTTTGCAAAAATAGCCCAAAAAGAACCAAAATTTTATTTTTCGATTGTAAATAAGTAAGGTGATGTCATTCTTGTCTAAAATAGCCGAATGTCCCCAAAAGGGCGCCGGTAGGCTGTTTTTGTAAGAACAGCCACCTTTGGTCACTTTTTCAAGGTTTTGGCCGGTTAGCAAACACAGCCTTAAAATCTTCTTCCTCAAAGTGCTGAAAGGCCGTATTTGCAAAGTCGGATTTTTTATGAAAATTTTGAAAAAATATAGTGTTAACTTTTTCTTGAGTCAAAATGTGTCATAATTTTTCTTTTAATTAAATCACCCTAATAAATGTGCAAGATGACACAGATGAAAATGAACCCTTCGCAGCTCTTAAAGAGATCCCCTTACAGCTCCATTTGTGGTGGAACGATTTAGGGAAAGGCAGTAGAGGAACCGTGGTAAAGGTTTTGGGTGGTCTTATCGGACTTTTGAACATCAAGCCAAGATTGGACGTGATTGAGGCCATGATACCTTTTTGGGATCCAACTCGCAATGTGTTCCGCTTCTCTGACTTTGAGCTCACACCCACGCTAGAGGAAATTGCAGGTTATGCCAGCCTCAGTGGAAAACTTAGAAGTCGGTACCCTGTGTCATCAAGACCGGTATCTCCCCACAAATTTTTGGACATGTTGAGTATTAGCCGGGATATTCAGGATGGGAATTTGTCTAAAGGGTATTGCACTTTCGAGTTCTTGTATCAACGCTATGGTAACCCCCAAGGTTTTGAAGCACCGAATACTGGTCTGACCCATGCCAGAAATAAATATAAATGGGAGGCAAGGCAGGGTTTGGCTTTTATAGTAGCATTCTTGGGTGTCGTAATCTGTCCACGAGAAGACGGCAACATAGAATTGGGCCTCGTGGGAATGGTTGATGTCGCGATCAAGAAAGCTAATGGCACCATGGTTCCAATGATCTTGTTTGAGATTTACCGAGCTTTGACCATCTGCTGAGAAGGGGGAAAATTCTTCCAAGGCTGCAACTTACTACTACAATTGTGGATACAGGAACATCTCTACCATCGTGTCGGGTATATGAACTACGGTATGACCGATTTGAACTGCATCGAAGAATTTAAAAGCCGAGTGGTGGGTGTTGAATTTCCCGAGGGTACCGAAGCTTGGTTTGCACACTTAAGTTCTTTAACTTCTGATAAGATTGAGTGTGCGTTCGGATGGTTCCCTGTCACCGAAGCAATATACATGTCAGCCGAAGTGTGTTATCTTCTCCTGATGGGTATCCGGAGCATCCAGCCGTATGCTCCTCACAGGGTTTTGCGCTTACTGGGCAGATTTCAAACCGTTCCTCATGACGAAGATTTGAGTAGACATGTCGTCGAATTGGGCCCAAAGGCCGTATTTCCAGAAGGACGAGTTCGCCAAGTGTGGAATGAATGCAGATTTCTTGAACCTAAGACTATGGTGCGGGATCTAGCTAGAGGTGAGGTAGACCCCAAGTACATTATTTGGTTCGGTAAAAGGTTTCAGATTCCTGAGAGACCTGCTAAGAGACCTCATGTTCAACAATTCATTAATGACTCGCAGGAGCAGTGGGGCTGGTTGGCAAAAGAAGAAAGCTATAGGGCCAAAATAAGTAAATTAGAGGGACAAATCAGGGACCTCAAATTTGGCAATAGTATCCAAGCTGCCGCAGATGAAGGGGAAAAGAAAAAGTTAATTCAGGAAAACGAAGCCCTCAAAGCTCAAATCCAGAAAATGAGAATAGCTGCTAGAAACCCGAAAAGGAGCCGAGCGGATGAAAGGCTTATAAGCAGTCTGAGAAAGAAATTACTTGAGTGTCAAGATGACCTAGAAAAATCTGAGGCCAGTCTAGCAAAAGTCCGGGCCCAATTGGCAAAGAATGCAGAAGGGCGGGCACAGTTTATGCAACAAATGAAGAGAAAATATGAGGGGACAATTACCAATCTAAAGAAGAAGCTAACCACCCTTGAAAATGAGGCAGACAAACAGGCTAGGAATTTTAAAGCTGATAGGGAACATTGTTATGCTTTGATGACCCAGATGGAGGAAGATATGCAACAGTTGCAAAATCAAAGCTAGCGTGGCACTCAGGTGCTAGAAGCCCAGAATCAGCAAATCGGGCGCCTGCTTTAGGAAAAGGGTATTGTCCGAGAGAGGGTTAGAGCTATTGCCGACTACATCGTTAGGAAATGCCAAGCATGTGAGGACATGACTCAAAACACTTTCTTCGCTGCAGTAATGACATTTGTCCGCTAGATAATGAGTGATTTGGAGAGGCTTCAAGGAAATCTCGCACGTAGGCCCGTGGCGAGACCGAATGATGTCCCACGGGCCCCAGGAGTTGAAACACTGATGTATTCATGATTTTTCATTTATCAAGTCTGTATCTCAGTTGTTAGTTTAAAAGTTGTTTTGAGTCTGTTTGTAGTTTTTTTTTTTTTTAAAAATTCCAAGAAATGAGTAGGTTGAAGTCTTTTGTAATATAAAAGTTTGGCAGTTTTATTAATGAAAATTGAAAATTCCCAAAAAATTGTTTCTTTATTTTTCGCATTTATTTTCTTGAACTACGTAATGATATGATTCACGCGGCGTCGTGATACGCAGGCAATCCTCATTGAATCCGGTCATGATTTTGTAAATAACTCAAATAAGAGAGAGATGTGAAAAGAAAAACCCAAAAATAAAGAAAAGAGAGACAAAGAAAAACCAGAAGAAAAACGAAAAGAGAGCAAGGAAAGAGATGGAAGAAAAGAGCGGAAAATGAAAATAGAAGCACAAAAAGACAAAGTGGAAAGAAAAGAAAATTGGGGAAAGTAAGCAAAGCCGGGATGAAACATGCAACCGACGCAAAACATGTAGAAACACATTTAACTGTATAGGTACATCACACCCCAACGTGCGATTACCTATGTGTTATTTTGCGCCAAATTGACCAGTTTGTTGTCTACTGTTAAGCTCAGGTTTTATAGTAAGGTGGTTGGTTTTGTGGTAGCCTGGCTTCGCATCCATACTTCACGAGGTCGAACGGAAGCGTTGAAATGTCTTCAGAAATGCCTCTGCCAACAGTTCCTGTTACGGATGATAGTCCGATCTCGGGCATCCCAACTTTAGAATCGGCAGCTGCCGAGGAAAATAGATTTCTGCATCTCCGCATGATGGAAATGTGGGACGCCTGGGCAAAAGGAAAAGAACCACCAAGTGCAATCCGTGGATTCCTTGAGCTTTTTCCCAGGGCAAGTGGGACCTCCAACATCCCTATAAATTATCCAAATACCCCACTGGGATATCCTACCATTTCTGCCAACTTTGTGGGAACACATTCTGAGGCTCGCCCCCAGGTGTTAACTTCAGGTGCTGCTTCAAACATATTCACTGCGCCACCTTGTTCAGCTATGGCACAACCCACTCTACCCAGGCCTAGCTTCGATCCATCTTCTTTCACCTTTCAAACACCATCTTTCCCAATGGAACCAACCCAATTTACTACCAATGCCTACCCTCAGCCGACTCGGTACGAGTTTACCGCAGGGCAGGAGAAAACCACAAAAACCCCTGAACAATAGGAGATCACTAGAAAGATGAGAAGCATGGAGCAAAGTCTCAAAAATATACAAGGTCTGAGTGGGCAAAAGAGCGTATCTTACGCTGACCTGTGCATGTTCCCACATGTACATCTACCCTTGGGTTTCAAAACCCCGAAGTTTGAGAAATATGATGGGCATGGGGATCCCCTTGCCCAACTAAAAAGGTATTGCAACCAACTGCGGGGAGCGGGCGGAAAAAAAGAGCTGCTCATGGCTTACTTTGGAGAAAGTTTGGTCGGTATCGCTTCAGAATGGTATATGGATCAAGATATATCTCGCTGGCATGTCTGCAATGACCTAGCTCGGGACTTTTTCAGGCAGTTTCAATATAACATTGACATCGCCCCTGACAGGAATTCATTGTCAAATCTAAAGAAGAAGTCCTCGGAGAGCTTCCGAGAATATGCCGTCAAGTGGCGCGAACAAGCCGCCAGAGTCAAACCTCTCATGGACGAAACAGAGATGGTCAGTGTCTTCCTTCAAGCCCAAGAGGCTGATTATTATCAAAACATGATGTCTGCGATGGGTAAGCCATTTGCCGAAGCCATCAAAATCGGTGAAATGGTTGAAAATGGGTTGAAAACAGGGCGAATCTTGAGTCAGTCTGCTATAAGAGCTACCTCCCAAGCCATCCAGGGTGGGTCTGGAGGAGTAGCAAATCGAAAGAAAAAGGAGGAAACATTAATGGCAACTTCGAGTGCAAGAAAACCCCGTCCACCCAGATCTCTTTTCTCTGAAAGAATCCCACAACACTACTATCCCCACCAAGATGTACCTTATGCTCCTCAGCCATACACAGTGATGAATGCCCAACCCTATGTCAGGCCACAACAACAGTTTAACCAGAACAGAGCTCCACTTCCCAGAAATCAACCTCCTTACCAAGCTCACTACAATCCCCGACCTCCACAGAACAACTTCCATACCCGGGGACCACCCAAGAAAACAAACTTCACACCCACTGGTGAGTCCTATTCTAGCCTATTCCCAAAATTGGTCCAAATGGGTTTGTTGCAACCCGTACCCCCGAATAGGCAAAACCCAGAGTCACCCTCTTACCAACATGGCGCCCGGTGTGCCTATCATTCAGGGGCAGAAGTGCATGATATAGATAATTGTTGGACCTTGAAGAGGGCTATGGAAGATCTGATAGAACAAAAGAGAATAGTGCTAAGGGACGAAGACGTTCATAATGTAACCAACAATCCACTACCGGCTCCCAACAACGGGCCAGTTATTGGGATGATTTGTGAAGACAAAGAGTTTGACTCAGCTCTAAAAGCCATCATTGCCATAGCCGACATGGAAAAGAAACCAAAAGCTGTCGCGAAACAAGACAAGGGGGAGAAAAAGAGTAAAACCACCCCTCAGAAGACAGAAAAGAAAGTGGAAGTTGAAACTGGAGCAGCGCCCTCCAAAGATGCCGTTCTCTATGCCCCTCGAGGCCGCAAGAAAGAACAGATGCCATTGACTCCTCCTAGAAGGTTTGAGTTAAACAAGGGAGCTCAAATGTATGTGTCCAAGGGGACCTACGTGATGCGGGGGCCAATAATTCCACCAAGGCTGAGTGAGCCCGTGGTTATTGGCCGCGCGCCACAAAGGCCTATGACAGATCCCACTGCTGTGCCATGGAATTATAACAAACCAGTAGTAACTTACAAAGGCAAAGAGATCTCGGGAGAAATTAAGGAGAATAACCCGACTGAGAAGTACCTCAACCTGGAGGAAGTGAATAATGCCACAAAGAAGCGTTTCCCATCTAAGAAGCCAGTGAGTGCTGAAGAAGCAGAGGCATTCTTCCAGAAAATGAAAATGGCAGACTACGAGATAATCGACCAACTTCGAAAATCTCCTACTCAGGTCTCTCTTTTGTCTCTGCTGATGAACTCAACTGAACATCAAAAAGTGTTGATCAAAACTCTCAACGAAGCATATGTGCCTATTGAAACCACTGTAGAACAATTGGAGAGGATGTCAGAAAGGTTTTTTGCAATCAATCAAATCTCGTTCAGCAAGAATGATTTGCCCCTGGAAGGGGCCGCACACAGCAAAGCCCTTCACCTGACAGTTAAATGCGAAGGGTATTATGTGAAAATGGTCATGCTAGATGGTGGTTCTGGGGTAGATATTTGCCCACTCTCAACTCTGCAACATATGGAAATCGGTACTGAAAGAATCAGACCCAACAACGTCTGTGTGCGTGCCTTTGACGGCATCAAAAGAGATACTATTGGTGAAATTGATATGATTTTAACTATCGGCTTGACCTTTCAGGTCTTGGACATGGATACTTCCTATAATTTCCTCTTGGGAAAGCCGTGGATTCACGCAGCAGGGGTTGTGCCTTCTACTCTCCACCAGATGGTAAAGTTCGAACATGAAGATCAGGAGATTGTAGTTCACGGGGAAGATGAGCAATCGATTTATCGGGACCCGCCAGTCCCTTGTCTTGAAGCTAGAGAAGGAAGTGAACATATAGTCTACTAGGCTTTCGAAATTGTGGTCGCGGACCAGTGTGAAGAGGGAAACCCTTGTCCCCAACCCTTTCTTTCAAATGCATCAATTATGGTGGCCAAAGAAATGATCGGACATGGCTACAAACCCGGGAAGGGGCTTGGGACTTCACTGCAAGGAATTACTGAACCCATCACCTTGAATGCCTGTGAGAAGTTCTTTGGGGTAGGTTTCCAACCCACATCAGCTGATGGAAAATGGGCAGATGAAAGAAAGAACAATGGTTGGGTCTTGCCTCAGCCGATTCCGCATCTGTATAGGACATTTGTCAAGCCTAAGTACAATGAGGAAGAGGAAGATGAGGCCTTTACGGCCGAGGAAATTGAAGAAATCTATGGAGCTATGAGGCAGATGCTATATGAAGCCCACATGGTCCAACCAGGGGAAGGCGCAAGCACCGCTGAGGTTCTATACATGGGACCCAGTGCCAAACTGCAAAATTAGAAGGCTACCCCATTCCCAATCAGGCGGGAGTCCCGGTAGTCCAGTCCTGCCACTTTTTCTGCATCGCGAGTTATTTCAGGGTGTAACTCGGATGTTTTTCTTTAATTTCTCGTCTTTAACTTCCAATGTAAACCCTGTTATCTTCAAATTCAAAGAAACGAAATCAATATTTCATCGTTCATCTTTCTTTATTCTATCTGATTTTTGTTATTTTTCTCTTTTATTTCTTCTTTCAGTTCTAATAATGCGGCTTTAAATAACATGACATGCTTGCGGACTTCTTGCCCAGATTCAAACACGCTGTCTAACTGTGAAATAATGAACCAAGAACCGGAATATGATAAAGAAGAGGCTTTTAGGGAAATAAATCGAGAATTGGAACAATTTGAGAACAAACCTAAGCCGAACTTAAATGATACTGAGTCGGTTAATTTGGGTAGTTCTGAAGAAGTCAGGGAAACCAAGATAAGCATTCACACAGATGAAAAAACCCGGGATGCGCTGATCCAACTCTTATTTGAATTCAAAGATGTGTTTGCTTGGTCATATGATGACATGCCAGGACTGAGTGTCGATTTGGTGGTTCACAAGTTGCCAACTTACCCCGACTATCCCCCTGTCCAACAAAAGCAAAGAAAGTTCAAAACCGATATCAGTGACAAGATTAAATAAGAAGTCAAAAAACAGTTAAAAGCGGGGGTGATCCGAGTGGTTCGATATACCACATGGTTAGCCAATGTAGTTCCAGTGCCAAAGAAAGACGGGAAAACCCGAGTGTGTGTGGATTACAGAGATCTGAACAAAGCAAGTCCTAAGGATAATTTCCCGTTGCCGAACATCCACATACTTGTTGATAACTGTGCCAAACATGAGATACAGTCCTTCGTGGATTGTTACGCAGGATATCACCAGGTGTTGATGGATGAGGAGGATGCAGAAAAGACAACTTTTACCACACCCTGGGGCACATACTGTTACAGAGTCATGCCTTTTGGTCTGAAGAATGTCGGGGCAACCTACATAAGGGACATGACTGCCATTTTTCACGACATGATGCACCAAGAGATAGAGGTGTATGTGGACGACGTGATCATCAAGTCCAGGACCCAGGATGACCATGTTCGGGACTTGAGAAAATTCTTTGAGCGGCTACGCAAATATGATTTGAGCTAAATCCAGCCAAATGTGCATTTGGGGTTCCGTCTGGCAAACTCTTAGGATTTGTAGTCAGTCGGAGAGGCATCAAGCTAGACCCAACAAAGATAAAGTCTATTCGGGATTTGCCTCCTCCGAGAACCAAGAAGGATGTGATGAGCCTATTGGGCAGATTGAACTACATCAGCCGATTCATTGCCCAACTGACGTCTACATGTGAACCCATCTTCAAGCTGTTAAGGAAAGACGCGGCAATCAAATGGACAGATGAGTGTCAAGAAGCTTTTGACAAAATCAAAGAGTATCTGTCAAACCCGCCAGTCTTGGTCCCACCGGAACCGGGAAGGCCCCTGTTCTTGTATCTAATAGTCTTGGAAAATTCTTTCGGCTGTGTCCTCGGGCAACATGATGTGACCGGAAAGAAAGAGCAGACCATTTACTATCTGAGCAAGAAGTATACCAGTTATGAAGCCAAGTACACTTTATTGGAAAGAACTTGTTGCGCTTTAACTTGGGTCGCTCAGAAGCTGAGGCATTATCTGCAAGCTTACACCACTTACCTCATAACCAGGTTGGATCCCTTAAAATACATATTCCAGAAGCCAATGCCCACGGGAAGGTTAGCAAAATGGCAGATCTTGCTCACTGAATTTGACATAGTCTATGTCACCCGCACGGTGATAAAAGACCAGGCTTTAGCGGATCATTTGGCTGAAAACCCGGTTGATGATGAATACCAACCTTTGAGCACCTACTTCCCGGATTAAGAGGTAAATTCAGTTGAGGCAATATACGAAGATACTAATGCTTGGAAAATGTTCTTTGACGGAGCGGTAAATGCAAAAGGTGTTGGAATTGGGGCAATCTTGATCTCACCCACTGGTCAACATTATCCAGCCACAACCCGACTTTGATTTTTTGCACGAATAATACTGCCGAGTATGCAGCCTGCATTATGGGCATGAACATGGGAATTGACCAAGACGTCAAAGAATTGTTAATCATGGGAGACTCGGATCTGATTATCTGACAAGCTCAAGGAGAATGGGAGACCCGAGATGTCAAACTGATTACTTACAGGCAACATGTGGAAGATCTTAGCAAGCGGTTCAAGTTAATAGAGTTCAGGTACATCCCTCGTTGTCACAATGAACTAGCTGATGCACTTGCTACTTTGGCCTCGATGTTGCCATACCCGGGCAATGCCCACATTGATCCCTTGGAAATCCAAATCAGGGAAAGGCACAGTTACTGTAATACGGTTGAGGTAGAACCAAATATTCAGCCATGGTCTCATGACATCAAAAGATTTCTGAAAACTAAGGAATACCCCGAACAAGCTAGGGGAGACTTAGACGATACGCAAGTGGTTTCTTCTTGAGCGGTGATGTCTTGTACAAAAGGACTCCTGATCTCAACTTGTTAAGATGTGTTGACGCTGAAGAGGCTGGGAGAATCATGTATGAAGTGCACGCAGGAGTGTGTGGATCCCACATGAATGGGTATGTTTTGGCAAAGAAAATCCTCCGAGCGGGTTATTATTGGATGACTATGGAAAAAGACTGCTTCAGTTTTGTCCGGAAATGTCATCAATGCCAGGTGCACGGTGATTTGATTCATGCACCGCCTACAGAACTGCATCCCATGTCAGCGCCTTGGCCATTCGTTGCTTGGGGCATGGATGTCATTGGGCTGATTGAGCCGAAAGCTTCAAATGGACACAGATTCATACTGGTCGCCATCGACTATTTCACAAAGTGGGTTGAAGCAATCACGCTCAAATCTGTCACCAAGAAAGCTGTGGTAGATTTCGTGCAATCCAATCTTATCTGCCATTTCGGTATCCCTGCAACTATCATCACAGATAATGCTGCAAACTTGAATAGTCATTTGATGGGGGAGATATGCGAACAATTCAAAATAACGCATCAGAACTCTACTCCTTATAGGCCTAAAGCCAATGGTGCCGTCGAAGCAGCAAATAAGAACATCAAAAAGATTTTGAGAAAGATGATTCAAAGTTCCAGAAAATGGCATGAAAAGTTGCCTTTTGCATTGTTGGGGTATCGCACTACGGTGCGCACATCGGTCGGAGCAACCCCGTACGTATTGGTTTATGGCACTGAAGCCGTAATACCTGCGGAAGTAGAAATCCCTTCTCTCCGGATTATTGTTGAAGCTGAAATTGAAGACAGTGAGTGGGTCAAAACCCGTTTGGAACAGTTAACCCTGATCGATGAAAAGCGAATGGCCGTAGTCTGGCATGGGCAGTTGTATCAACAAAGAATGGCCCGTGCCTACAACAAGAAAGTGTGGCCTAGAAATTTTGAAGTGGGACAACTCGTTTTGAGGCGTATTCTCCCCCATCATCAGGAAGCAAAAGGAAAATTTGCTCCTAACCGGAAAGGTCCATACATTATCCGAAAGTTGTTGCCAAAAGGGGCATTGTATCTGGGAGACATTGAAGGGAATGACCCTGAAACAGCTGTGAATGCGGATGCAGTCAAAAGGTATTACGTCTAATCCTTCTGCAGCAATAGCATTGTCTGATTGGGATGACGAAGGCTTTTATTCTTAAGCACTCCAATCGTTTGCAAACCCTTTGAGCCGGTTACCTTTCTTTCATTACCCTCTTTGGAACTTGAATATGTTTGTAATCAAAAAGAAAAAAAAACAAAGAAAAAAAATGAATGAAAAAAAAAGAGAGAAAAGAAACCAAAAACAAAAACAAAAGAAATCAAAAACAAAATATTTCCCCTGAACTACGTTCGACTTGATTCCGAAAGGATACGTAGGCAGCCTCTTTCTGGGGTTCAGTCACAACAAAATAAAAATCAAGTTTTCCCCAAAGAGTTTAACTGGGGCAGATGTTATAATGGTCGGCGATGATCCCGCCTGAACGGTTCCAAAGTTATAATTCGATCCAATTCTTTTTACCCAACCTTGTTCAAGTCCTTTCGATCAATCGACAAAAGGTTTTCAAAATCAGAGAACGCAGTTGTTTGGATCCCATACAACCAGGATGAGAAAAATAAAATGAGAGAGTCTTATTGGTGAAAACCCACGGGCACCATAAGTCGACAGTGAGTAGAGAAATTGAAAATGAGAGAGTCTTGTTAGTGAAAACTCGTAAAAGAGCACTATAAGGCGATGGTAAGAAGAGAAATGAGAGAGGTCGATTGGCAAAAACCCGCAAAGAGCGTCGTTGATCGAAAAGAAGAAACCCCCCACCACCATTGGTATTGAAAGAGTCCTGGCAAGGTTTCTCGATTTTGAAACACGGGTCGCAATGTGGTTTATGAGAAGTTGGGATAGTGTGTGCGGATCGGGCACCCAGTCCAAGAAGCATGTCATGTCTAATGAAGTCTGCATGC